ATATGTCTGTCTGTCTGTCTGTCTGTCTATGTGTCTGTCTGTCTGTCTGTCTGTCTATCTATCTGTCTGTCTGTCTGTCTGTCTGTCTATCTGTCTGTCTATCTGTCTGTCTGTCTGTCTGTCTGTCTGTCTGTCTGTCTGTCATCCATTCGTTCATTCAAGGAACAATGCATTAAATGACTGAGGTGCAGTTAAGTTATGTGACAAAGTATAGGCCTCTAAAAGTTTTACACCACCGTTATGCCCCCATGTTCATGCAGATTTATTCATTTTTGAATAATGCAATTACGAGCTGGTCCACATATGGATTATTCTATCTTAACACTGATTATCTCAAATATAAGAATCCTCTATAACAATAAATGTATCTCAAAAGCATTCACATTATCTTGCCAGTGGTTTGCAGTAATTATTTTGCGTTCTATGGCCAGTGTTTAGTTAATGAACTAGACTCTGGATATTGCAGTCTCAGCTCTTGCTGCTGAACTTTGCAGAGCCTGTTAATTGATATCTCTTTCCCAGTCTCAGCCTAACACCCCAAGCTCATTTCACATGCAGACTTATTACTAGACATTGATCTCTCTGTCAATGCTAATGCCACTGACGAATACAAAATGTACACAAACATAATTTGGTCTATGAATTGCATCTCTGTAATTGATTTCCATATTAGCTTGCACGTTTTGTCACGTGAGAGGCTACTGTATGGATGTCACTGAGGCATAGCTATTAAAATACAGCACATGCATAAAGCAGACATTATGTTATGTCATCATCATCATACTATCACACTAAAATATGCAGGTTAAGCCATGAATGGCTAATCCAATTAATGGCAGAGGCAGCAGTGTGCATGTAGTTTGCACTGTAAAAAATTCTTGTGGTAACATCTAAATAAGTCAAAAACATTATTTAATATGGCTAAATAATCCTTAATTTAGCCTAACGAAAGCTACATATTACAAAATTGCTACTTAAAATATTACAAGAACATTTGAGAAAACGTCCTAATAATACAAAATAATAAACTCTAAAAAAATTATAATATATTTAATTATAAAAATATAATATGTTTTAATTATATAATATAATCTTAAACTATAAAGCTATAAATATAATATTTAATAAAAAAACTACAGTAAAATATTTAATATTCTAAAATGACTAAAGAAACTGAAATGTCAGTACAAATTAAAAGTAAAAGATGTCATCAAAACCCATTAAAATAAAAATAAAAAATAAGTGCTTGGCTTGTAGGTTTTGTTCAGGCCGAGTCAGAAAAAATATAAAATGTAACCAAGCAAGCACTTGTTTTTGTAGTGCTGTGCCAATGATGCTCTGTTCCCTGTGTCATTTTATTTATTTATTTATTTATTTTTATAGCGTCATCTCTTCTGGTTTGCATGAAGACCCAGATGTGACCCTGCCCCTGTGTAGTTGCATTGCTTTAGGGCATACTGCATATTCTTGTTCTGTTAAATTGCTGCTAAAAGCTCAGCGATTAAAAATTGCACTTGCCTCAAGGGTTAATATCTTCTAATAGAGATTAGTATCAGAGTTTAGTTTCAGTCTCTCTGGTAATTATATATGCACAGGTAGTAACAGCAGTGAAATAAGCGGATGCATATATGATCTCAATTTTGCGCTCTGCTTTAGAGCTTTTCACTGATTTTCCCATTAAAAGTGGAAGCACTGTAAATGAGGGGAATGACGGCTAGTTCAATATCTGAAGATATAAAGCCTATAAATAGTCTCCTTTGTAAACATTAGTTTTACTCCTAATGCATCATTGATAATCAAAGACAGGATCATACCACAAATAGCACTGTCCCGTCACTAGCAATACTCATTTTGATTTTGGATCCACCACCTTTCATTTCTGTCTGTTGTATACATGCAAAAAAAGTACTTTTGTGCTTATTGTGATGTGTTCTCTTCTGTCCTTCAGTTCTGCAACCACACTGACAAATTAAGAGCAGCTTGAAGAAATGGCATTTTGGTGCCAGAGGTCTTTGATTTCTTGGGTGTTACAAGATCAATAAGGATTGTATTCAGCAGTGGTCCAAAGAACGTAATGAGCTACACTTAGGGCTAATGATTGGATGCTCACATTAAAGTATGCAGGTCTCGGGGTTGTTTGCATGTATTTGCTGGCAGGATGCTCTACTTTGGTTCCGGCTGCATCAGCAGAAGTATCAGGCCCTCTCCACTGCCATGACCTGCATCGATCAAGGTTAATTTGTTCAGCGCTGCCTTGATTAGTGAAACCATTAATTACTAAAGATGCAGTTTAAAGCCCACGTTATGTATCCAGCTACTGGTTGCGATGAGATGGATTTGCAGGGAAGCAAAACTAATAGAGACTGTATCCTCAGATTTCACACTGTCACAAAGATGGCGCGTTCATGTAAAGAGCCTATAGTGACAGAGAATGGCTCTGGAAGAGACTCAATAATCTGGCATGCCGTGACTAATCTTATTATGTTTGCATTGGAAAATTTTACAGTAAACACAAAGGAATGGGTTTCTCACAATGAGAGACAATTCACGCGTTTCATTTAATATATATATGTATATATCACTAAGGCTAGAATAAATAAGTATTCTGAAATTACTAATAAAACATTTGATTTAATAGAACAAAATAGAAAGTCTCCTTTTGTTGTTTTTGGGAAATAACGTTGGATTATAAAAACAGAAATACTGTGAAATACTATTATTACAATGAAAATTAAATGTTCTATTAGAATATATTTTAAAATGTAATTTATTCAGTTTCAATGTCACATGATCCCTTAGAAATCATTCTAATATGCTGATTTGCTGCTCAATAAATATTTATTATTATTATTATTATTATTATCAATGATAAAAACAGTTGTGCTTCTTAATATTTTTGTGGAATCTGTGATAATTTTTTTTTTCAGGATTCTTTGATAAATAGAATGTTAAAAAACATTAATTTGAAGTATAAATATTTTGCAATGATGTAAAATCTTTTTATTTTCTGCATCTACATCAACAGTGTTGAGCTGTTGGATCTCTACTGCGGGGTTATTATAGTTAACTAAAACTAAAACCATAAAACAATTATGTTTAAGTAATGTAACAAGTAACATTCGTTACTTAAAAAGAAAATACATTTTAACTGTAATATACTAAAATATAAAAAACTTCATTTCAGCTCAATGTATTAAAACAACTAAAAACAAAATTGAATAACAACTATATAGACTTTTAAAACCAACAAAAACTGATATAAAATTACAAAAACGCACAAGAATTAAAAAAAAAAACTTTAACTAAAATTAACATGAAATCAAAAAATATATATAAAAATAAAATCAGTTTCAAAACAACAAAAACTGTAGTAGTTTCTCAATGATACCAAAATAGCAAATGCTTTATTGTCACGATTTTCTTATGCTGTTTATTTGATAAAAACAGCATGTGTTCAAAATAAGATGTTTTTTTAAACATGTTTTTGTTTAGGTTTTCTTAGGACAAATCACACATTTTTACCTCCAGAAGAGAGATGTGGAGCAGCACTTCCAAGAGAAGTTTTCCTGTGATGCATCCACATTTAAATGCCAAACACTTCTCCAATTTAATAGTTACCAGACACCAGTAAATGTTAATGAGCAAAAAGAATAATGATGTGCAAGAACAGAAAAGGCCTGACTATTGGATACTTTGAAAACAAAGGATAGCTGGCGACTCAGAAAGTCAGTGGCTATGAGAGAATAATGGATATGCTGCCAAACGGGATTCAGTGGCTGGTTAAAAAAAATCCCCACAAAGAAAGACCCATGAAATTGGCAAGAAGAAGACCATGTCTCAAGGACTTAGATGAAATCAATGTATCACAGGCTAATTTATGATTATTATCCTCCATTTTTGTCAGATGCACTGATGCTATATATATATATAAAAAAAAAAAGTCCATTGTTCCTGTGAGTTTTCAGCCGTATGTGGGAGGACCTGAACAAGTCGATACATATTAAAGTCCATCATGTAGGGCAGATAAAGAGCCCTGTGGAAGCACTAAAAGTGGCTGTAGGCTAAAAAGTCAGTGGGATAATTTATCATGTGACTCACAGTGACCTGACATTTAGTGTGAACACTGAGGTGTCAAAGCGACAGCCATGCACCCTGTTATCACTAATTAAGTTCTTACGGCTTCTAATGCTAATGAGGACACAGATACTGTATGACGAGGTCTTGATTCATTTCCATGTTCATATAGCTCTTTCATGGCTTCTCCTTTACTCTAGAGTCAATGAGCTTCAGCTCTGAAGATTTAAAGTCTGTGTAAAGCAATATGTGTTTTGAGTTTGTTACACCACAGAACAATGTGTTATTAACCACCCAACCAAATTTGTATGATAAAAAAAGCCAAGTAAATAAAATAAGGTATCAAAATCTTGAAAAAATAAGCTGTACTCTCTGCTCTCAAACATTGGGGGCGTGTCCTCTGGCAGCGCTGAAACCACGCCCACTCAGGGGAAAGCTGGTGAAAAACTGTTAAACGGTCTAACTCAGTAATTCAGTACTACATAGTTCACATCCCCGGGCGCCGCAGCCAAAAAATGGCTGCCCACTGCTCCAGGTGTGTGTTCACGGTGTGTGTGTGTTCACTGCTGTGTGTGTGCACTTTGGATGGGATAAATGCAGAGCACTAATTCCGAGTATGGGTCACCATACTTGGCCACATGTCACGTCACTTTCACTTTCACTTTCATTTATAATGTGTTTAGAAACAATTCTCTGAATTGCCTTTAAATCCAAAGCTACTTTTTTAATCAGTTGTTTAGTTTTGAAAATGACAGCATTTAACGTCAGCTTGAAATGAAAAAAGTGGCCTGAGTCAGAGATATCCATTTGCCTCAGGATAGAGAATGTAATATATGCTCATAATGCATAGCGCTTGTCCTCCTCTGTTCTTTAACGCACCTGTCTTATCCCAATCCACAGCTTGGCAGCGTCCCAACAAGCAGCGGCTCGGAAAGCTGCCACCCCAATGCCCCCGTCAGAATTCCTGGACAAGCTTATGGGAAAAGTGTCCGGTTATGATGCAAGAATCAGACCTAATTTCAAAGGTTGGTGCATCCACCAAGACACTGCTGGATATCACAGGAATGTAGCCAAGGGCTATTTTAAAAAGCTATTTCAAACACATATTTAAAGAGTTGGCGTGCAAAAATATATATGATAAGTGCATATAGATGATTGATTATTTGTCAATTAACAAGTGATATATTGTTATATTAATCCAACAAGTTTCCACCAACATTTTAAAATTCATTCATTTCAAAGCTGCTCCCAAATTTGAATTATTCACTCCGAAGGTTATTTAGTAATCAAAGAACAGCAGCCTGCTATATACCGCAGTGGTTGACATGTAATATTATATATTTTTTCTGATTTACTAAGGATAACTTGTACAGTCGTTATATTAAGAAACCTGTTCCCAAGCTGGCCACATTCCTGTTTAAGGTCCATGATCTTGACTCATTATCCTGAGTGAATGTCTATGGTGGTACTCAGTATCCTATATATTAGTGTGTGTGACGTGTGCTGGCAGTGTTAGAAATAGCCACTGCAAGATACATGTCAGAGGTTTCCTTATATTCAACAATATATTAATGTCAATCACTGCAAATTAAAGTCTGCCTGTTCCTTAGCTATTCTTGGAAATACACTTTTTTTCCCCAAGGGATTATGAGTAAAAACAAGTCAGTTTTAAAAGCAACATATTTTCTTTTATTACATATAGCAATTGCAATACACTAAACACAACTAAACAATAAAACTAAAACTAAATATGCATTTTAAAAACTAATATTTTGGACATTGTGTACACATAAATGCCTTGCGAGATTAAATGGTAGTTTTTTTTTCAATGTTCAGCATTGTTTCAAATAATGTTATATATGCACTGCTTATGTATTATGTTTGTGTATATATTCAATTCGATTTGAATCTTGACTCCCAAAAATAATGTTTGAATGCTTATTGTTTATTAGAGCCGAATGTATTAGATGTTTGATATTTTGCATGTGTGTTGACCAGTAACACTTTATAATAAATTTAGCAAGCATAATATTATATAATGCTTAACAAATCATTACTGTACAGTGAAATATGAACTACTGATTTGTTAAGCGTTATATAAATGTTGAATTATTGATTACTGAAAGTTATTATAAAGTGGTCTCTTTTGACCAAGATATGTTTAATGTAATGCAGACACTTATACCAAGTAAAAAAATATATAAAATGTGTGCAGTTTATATGTGTACAGTCTCACTCTTCCTTTGAAAACTATAGGTAGGTAAAAGCATTACTGAATGATAGAAATATTACAGCAATGTATCCTGAGACTTTGTCCAGACTGTTAAACCTGCTTGAGCGCTTAAATGGCAGAGGGCCCCTGTCTGATTTTGAGGCCTTGCATCTTAACCTTGCTCGTGGCAACGGATTTATTTCTTTTATTTCTTTATTTATTGCTGTTGACAGTCAGTGCTGTGATATGGTGAATGATTTCTGACATCTTACATTTTGCTGATTGCTGAGTTTTGCTGCAACCTTGTTTATGGTGAACGGCGTCATATTGCGGAGTTGGCTGATTGCTTTCTCACTTAAATTTACCCTGAAGAAGCAGATATTCTCAACATCACGAACTCGGCATTGCCGTTATTCATTCATTCATTCATTATTTATTTATTTATAAAGCACATTTAAAAACAACAAGGTTGTTATGGTTTCGATGTGTAATTTAAACACTATAGTTGCCAGAAATCGAATGCATTAATTCTTATATTAAAAAAACAAAACCAGTAGCTGATGTCTGAATAAACACTGGCCTTCTTTCGTGAACTCATTATGTAATTCATTCAGTTCTTTTCATGAGGGCACATGGGCCCTGTGGTCACATGACCAGACCAGACATTATGAAATCCAAAGGATCGTCACGGCTGTCAGGTCAAGCGTGTAACTGCACTCTGAGCCGGAAGCTCACGCGTCCTCGGCCAGTTTTCTCTGCTCCACTATAGACCGCATCCCTAAAATTCATACAGCAAGCGGCCTGACAGCATCTCTCCATAAATTTCGATGGAAAAAGCAGAGAGAGAACATTTAAAGGTCCAACGCTCCTAAACAGCATCTGCTGTGAGAAGACATTTTTTCCAGCTCATGGTGTGGAGGAGTTCACCTCCTCTGATTACTCTGCCTCTCCTGCAAATTTGATCGTACAGTGAAAAAAGGGAATGAAAAACATAAGAACTGCCTGAAGCAACCAATGTGCTGGCATGAGAAGAAATTACACTGATCATGACTGGGACTCGCTGTGGGAAATCCTTCCAACTGATTTAGTTGGGACCATTTAAAATGGAAAGCTCATAGCCTGGCATATTTGGGGCACCCCATTCAGCTAGGACCGGGATAGATATATTTTCAGATCTTACACGTGTATCTCTTCAGTCACTGAATTATATAAGATTGTATTTTAAGGCTGAAGTGTGTCATTTTTTCATGTTGAAATACTTTACAATAAAGGTTCAATTCATTAATATTAGTTAATGTATTAACTAACATAAACAAACTATGAAAAATACATTTGTTACAGTATTTATTAATCGTTGTAAATGTTAATGATAATACAGTTGTTCATTGTTCATGTTAATTTACAGCGCATTGCCTAATGTTAACAAGCACAACTTTTGATTTTAGTAATGCATTAGTAAATGTTGAAATTAACATTTACTAAGAAATGCTGTAGAAGTATTGTTCATGCCTAGTTCATGTTAACTAAAGTAGTTAACTAATTAACCTTATTGTAAAGTGTCGCCATGTTCATTTCTATATACACATTTTTAACAAGTTGTATAAATGAACATTATTATAAACAAATATGATTGGTAGTATATTGACACAACCATGTAAAGTTTTTTTTTTAGTGTTTTTAACGAAGTCTCTTATGCTCACGAAAATACAGTAATAACAGTAATATTGTGAAATATTATTATAATTTAAAATAACTGTTTTCTAATGAAATATTTTGTAAAATGTAATTTATTCCTGTGACATAAAACTGAATTTTCAGAATCATTACTCCAGTCTTTAGTGGCACATGTTCAGAAATGACCAATGTTGAAAATAGTTGTGCTGCTTCATATTTTTGTGGAAATTGTGATACTTTTTATCAGGGAAAAAAATATTTATAACATTTGAAATGTCTGATCTTGAAATGTTTGATCAATTTAATGTGTCCTTACTAAATAGAAGTATTAATTTTATTAATAAGTAAGTAAAACTTACTGAACCCAAACTTTTAAATGGTAGTGCATATTGAAATTATTATTAGTTATTTTAAAAAAAAGTTATTGTTTGTTCATGATACCTGCATTAACTAATGTTAACCAATTAAATCTTGCCGATCAGTATTACCATACTTTCTTCTATACCAGTTTCATATGCATTCCCCCCAAAATATGCATATTGTATGCATAATCATGCATCCTGACCAGCTCAACACTGTGTCATTGGCTCAATTTGGACTATCTGTCTGTTTGACTAATAGCGCATAGGACAGATTTCTTTTTTTCAAATTCCGTTTGATACCACAGATATTACAGTTTTTAAAATCATCTTCCCTCCAATAGACCAATTCGTAGCGCTCGCTGACAGATCAAAGTGCTGCGTTAAACAAAGTGGGGACGTGTGAACCTGAGAGGAGCGGGGACTGTTCGTCCGCAGACAGGCCGCTAGCTTGAGCTGCAATCTGCGGCTGCTAGTGATGAATGGTTTGGAGTGCAGCTGCGCCTCCCGTACCCACGTTAACCTTGTCCCTTCTCATCAGTCACAGCGAGGAGCTATGAGGCCGACAGCCACGAGGTGCTACAGATTCCGCCCAAATAGCACAATCATCGGCTGAGGTTTCCCATAGACCAGCAGTCTCCCTCCCGCCCGGCTTCCAATGAGCTGCCACCACACATTACAGTCATGATCAGTGTAATGCTTTCTGATTACTATGTCACTTTGCTTATGAATGTGTCCGATGAGACAATTGTACATTTGTAAATATACAATCTGCTGCGGTATATTTACAGATTGCTTTTTTACTTTCTTTTTGGATGTCCTGAACGTCTCTGTTACCTCTTTGCATCTCCTCCTCATTCATGTAAAGTGCAGAAGCGAAGCCTTATTAGCTGGCGGAGCTTGATGTGAATTCGGTGCTATCAGCACATGCTTAATGGGACTTTAATAGGAGTAATGGGAATTCTCTAATGAGTCGGGGTGCAGCGTTCACATACAAACTGCAATGGTGAACCTACTGATGCTTTTCACTCGGTTTAAATGATGACAGATGACTGAAATCCTGATCAAGAGTGTTTCTTATGCGATGTCTGGATAACTTATCTGCCGTCTTCAGAGAGTAACAGAATATATGCTGCTTTAAGAGGCCGCTATAAACGATTTTGTAAGCTTTCAGAGATGCTATGAACTGTATTTCCACCATGAGGGTAACGAAGCGTCTCAGGATCACGCTAGATAATTTCGTTTTTATCTCATGGGTAGAGAGAGTGAGTGGGCTGCGGGGCCTGCAGAAACATCACAACAGAACAATCAAATGACACCGAGATGGAGCAAGGTTAGATGTGATTTTAATTTTTCATACACGTTTTAGCTCAACGCCTACAAATTGTTCCAATTCTCACAGGGTCGCAGAGACGATCATCCATGGAAATTTAATTTAAAAGCTTCTGTTATTCACGTTTGAACTTGGGTGCAACTTCAGAGCGATTTATCACTGTCTGCACACTGAAAAAAAATTGCTTTTAAATTTTACAATTAATTACAAAGAAACAGCGAGTCGCACAGTGAATTAAATGTGTAATTTTGAAGCCTGGAATAGTATTTTCTTATAAAACATACTCCGATAAACTTTGTTTTATATACAAATTGAGATTCAATTGAGATTGGCTTTAGATAATTGTTAATATTTAGTTATCAGTGCACTTAATCGATTTGTTTTATTTCCAGATGGGTTTTCAATTAAAAGTATCAATAGAAGACTGATATAGTATTTTCTTATAAA